AATTTCCTGTTATCGGCCCGATAACTATCGGCCCGATAATTATCGTGCACCCCTAGTTTTTAGTGCTTTTAACATTGGGATGATCTTCTAAACTCTTGAGCTTTTCTTTCACTCGTGTCTCCATTTGTTTTCCTCCGTCGGCTGCTCGTTGCCATGGGAACGCCTTCAGTATCCTCTTCTCCAAGTTGGAAGCCGGGTCCTCTCTGACAGCGGGCACCTCCATCCCCCGTGCCCGCAGCTCCAGTGCAGCTTGATGTGCGTTCTCATAGGTCCGTGGGCCGGTGCTCCAGTGGATCCGGATCCTCGTGAATGCGGTTTGGAAACGAATGCCTTTTTCTTTCAGCGCTTTTTTAATTCCCCTGTAGGCTCTGCGTTTTTCCATCACTTCACTTTGTATGCATAATCATGGTCGAAGAAAATCGGTTTGTTAAGATGAATTTTCTTTTTCCAAGCCAACTTCAATACCGTTTCCTTGACATCATGCTGCTGAAAGTTTATCACAATGGACCAAGGTATAGCGTCTGGTCCTGGCTTCTGGGTCAAAGCTCTATGAGCTTGTGAATCTGCAGGGACATACCGTGGGGGAGAGCCAGTTCTGTGTTAAGCAGGTTTTCCATAAACTTTATCATCGAGTCGCCCTCCGAGCCCTCCGACACACCTTAAACTAGGATGCTGTTTCTTCTGGACCTGCTTTCCAAATCAGTGGCTTTTTCTTGCAGCCTGCGTTGCTCTTTCAGTAAACTCAGCAGAGCCTCTTTCGTTGCAGCGCCGCTTGTTTCCATATCCGAAATGCGCTCCTTTGCCTCGGTGATCGCCCGGTCGTGACCCTGGAGCATGGTCCCGACTTCAGTTAGCTTCTGGTTTAGCTCGTGTCTCAGCATCACTAGCTCGTCCTTGAAGTCTGTCTTTAAATCTCCCTTGAGGTCGGAGATAGCTGAGTGAACGTCATTTTTGAAGTCACGGATGTTATTCGAGATAGTTGACAGTTCCCGAAGCAGCTTGTCTTTAGATTCACCGCCATCTCTGCTAGCTAGCAGGTCGCCATTGTCTTCGTTGGTCGGCTCCATTTGTTTTTTGTTGGACATTAATTGTTCAGTTACCCTCCCTCTCCGGTTCGTATCGTCTCGTTTTCCCCCACTCATGCCTTGCCCTCTAGAGTTTTCACGTTTGTTTTCGAGTTTTTTTTTTTTTTTTTGATAAGGACTGAAACGGAGCAATTGACGATGCGTCTATCCCGAGCATGGCTTAACCAGAAGTCTTGCTCTTTTTTTAATGAAGAAATACTCTCCAGTTCTGACCTAACTGATGCTAGCAGCATCTAATATATCTAGTGCCCACCCCAATAGCTGCCAGCACTTCCACAAAGGGCACTGATTGGTCTGGTACCAGTTTGGACACAAATGCATAGATTGAAGTCTGGCAAGTTGGATTCTCGTGTGGCCTTTGCCATCACTGTTTGAATGAATGTGTGTGAATGGGTGAATGTGGCATGTAGTGTAAAAGCGCTCTGAATGGTTGGAAGACAAAGTAGCTATACAAGTACAGTCTATTTACCATATGTTTTTAAAATAGCATTTAAATTTAGACACACAATATGACTCGAAACTCAAAGGTTTAGGTCTCTGTAAGACCTGATATTTACTTGTGACTAACAAAACAATGACTTGGTCCCAACTTGATAGTGACAGACTGACTTTTAATCAGCAACATACTTTGACTGACTTGACACACAGGACACACTCCTGTCTGTCAAACCAAACCTTCTGACCCCTGAGAGTACTTCCTTTCCCCTCTGACCTTGTTGGCCACAGCGTTGACGTTAGGCCGAGCATCATAGATGGTGAGCTTGGTGGTGTCGTTGGCCTCCCTGATCATGTCCAGGTAGCGCTCGTCGTCCTTGTTTCTTTTACCAGACATGCCGACCAGAGGCTGACTGCAGCGCACGATCACTGCCTGGTTCTCTCTGTGGATCCATGATAGAACCTAACGCACAAAGATAGATGAAATATTTACAGTAAGTAGGGTATGACATGAAGTGACTCTCAGGTAGCTTGTAATGAAAACAGGTTAAATGTAAGACTTTTAAATACATTTTAAGACCATTATGAATGCAATTTCAGACTATTTTAAGTTCATAGTGGAAAAAAAAATATATGAAGGAAAACTGCAGCAAACACAGGCACGCGGTTAAATGTACAGTCACAAATATCACAACTT